GGGGGGGGGAATAGGCAAAAATTACCCTATCTTAAGAACCACTGTTCTCTCCAATGGGTCCCTCCTTCATAAGTAGTATTTGTTAAAACTAAAACACGTTCTGGAAATGTTAAGACACTCCCAGATGGTTATCCATGTTCACCTTATCTCCCAGCCCAGTCACTGTGGAGTACAGAAAACATCTGGGACCCGTTTCCCAGATCTGTTCACGAATTACAAATAATGTAGGATTTCCTGCAACCTGAACATCCGAATTCAAGTAAATTATTCTGCCTAATCAGGGCCATGTGAGACAAACCACACAGCAGAGCAGCTCCTGTCTCACTATGAGTCAAGTATTTTAGGTATCTGAGGGGGAGGCCAGAGGAGGAGCACTGGCAGCCAAGAGTGCTGAGTTGAGTTGGCAGGCTGGGAGGAGTGACAAGGGAGTGGGGAGAAACTTCGGGTGAAAGGAAGGGGTAAAGTGTGAAGAAATGAGTCCGTTGTAAATAAAGCCTAAAAACCAAACCTCCCACTTCACAAGAACAAGTTGACGGCCTCCAGCTAGCTCTTAGCTCTCCCAGAGTGGCGCCGTCTGAGTTTCTATCTAGGACACATGGCTCACGTCCCGACCAGGGGCCTGACCATTCATTCAGACTCTCAATGTACACTTATTAGCAAACCTGACACCGGCACCACATTTGGGAAAACACTGCCGCACCCCCGCAGTTTTCAGGGAGAGCCCCACAAAAGCACAAGTCATCACAGGAATTTGGAAGGCGACAAAGGAGAATCACAGGCTCCCCCACCCATACGCCAGCAGCAGCTCAGCCCTCCTAGTGCATGCGCCAGGCCAGATTCCCATGGCCACGAGTCGTCGGCACCTGGTCTTGCCTCCATTGCGCGCCCTTCCCCAAAGCTGGCCCGTGTCTGGACGTCGCCATGCCCCGCTCGAGCCTACAGACCTCGCGGCCGCTGAACTCTATGGATCTCCCTCCTTCCTCGAGTTTCGCCAACTCCGCAGGGTTCACTGAGCCTCACCAGCCACCGTCCGCGAAGCCCGGTCGCGCTCCTGACGTCACTGCCGTGCGCGTCTTCCACACCAAGGGAACTATGTCTCTAGCAAGGCCGACGAGACTGCTGTCGCTTGCATCTCGGGGGCTTCTGACTCCTCGACGGGATCTTGCGGCCCGCGATGCCGACGACTCTCTACCTGTGGTTCGCATCCCGCGGGCTCTACAGCAGCGGCAGGAACAACGGCAGGGCAGGCGGCGGAGCCCTGTGCGGCCGGTGCTGGTGCGACCTGGCCCGCTGTTGGTCTCCGCGCGGCGACCCGAGTTCAACCAGCCCGCGCGCCTCACGCTGGGCCGTTGGGAGTGCGCGCCACTCGCTTCTCGCGGCTGGAAGAATCGGCGCGCGTGCCACGACCACTTCTCCATCGAGCGCGCGCAACGCGAGGCACCCGCGCAGCCGAACCTCTCGTGCGAGCGCACCTTCGCCGATCTGGGGCTGGAGCTCCGCATGCTAAGCGCGCTGAAGGAGGCTGCTCCCGAAGTCGTTCGGCCTACAACCGTGCAGTCAAGCACCATCCCCCCACTGCTTCGTGGCCGTCACATCCTTTGCGCCGCAGAAACCGGCAGTGGCAAGACTCTCAGCTACCTACTACCCCTGCTTCAACGACTTTTGGGCCGGCCAAACCTGGACTCATGTCATATCCCTGCTCCGCGAGGTCTGGTGCTTGTGCCTTCCCGAGAATTAGCTGAACAGGTGCGAGCCGTGGCCCGACCCTTGGCCAGCTCCGTGGGCCTCCTGGTGCGGGATCTAGGCGGAGGCCACGGCATGAGTAGAATCAGTCTGCAGCTGTCCAAACAGCCTCCAGCAGATGTGCTAGTGGCCACCCCAGGGGCTTTGTGGAAGGCCCTGAGGCGTCATCTGATCAGCCTGGAACAGCTCTCTTTCTTGGTATTGGATGAGGCAGACACACTGTTGGATGAAAGCTTCCTGGAAATGGTGGAGTACATTTTGGAGAAAAGCCAAATAGCAGAAGGCACAGATGACTTAAAGGACCCCTTTAATCCCAAAGCGCAATTAGTATTGGTCGGGGCCACATTTCCCGAAGGTGTAAACCAGCTGCTGAGTAAAGTTGCCAACCCTGACTCTCTAACCACTATCACTAGCTCCAAACTCCACTGCATCATGCCTCATGTCAGACAGACATTTATAAGACTGAAGGGAACAGAGAAGGTGACTGAGTTGGTGCAGATTCTTAAACACCATGACAGAGCCCATAGAATTGGCCCATCAGGGACTGTTCTGGTGTTCTGTAATACCTCCAGCACTGTAAACTGGCTGGGATATATTCTGGATGACCACAAAATCCAGCACTTAAGGCTGCAGGGACAAATGCCTGCCTCAATGAGGGCAGGTATCTTCCAAGGCTTCCAGAATGGATCCCGAGACATACTTCTCTGCACAGACATAGCCTCTCGGGGCTTGGACAGCACCCAGGTGGAGCTAGTTATCAATTATGACTTCCCCCTCACCCTGCAGGACTACATCCACAGAGCGGGGAGGGTGGGCCGTGTGGGGAGCGAGGTACCAGGCACTGTCATCAGTTTTGTGACCCATCCCTGGGATGTGAGTCTGGTTCAGAAAATTGAGCTGGCAGCTCGCCGGAGAAGAAGTCTTCCAGGACTAGCGTCCACAGTGAGTGAACCTTTGCCCCAGCAATCCTGATTTCAACTGGCTTAAATGTGATGCCAAGAATGGATTTTTCCCCTGAGTCCTGAGTAGGTGAGCACACTTGTCAGTAGGATGCACTGAGGTCATCCTTAATCTCCCTGAAGACTGGTGAGCTGGCTTCAAAAGTAAGCTGTTGGCCAGCATAGAAGAATAAACTGTTAAGGTTGGCTCTCTGGTTTTTTCACATGACTCGTGACAAATAAAGTGGATTTTAACTTTATATTATGTCTTGCTTTCTAACTAAGTGATGTTTTCATGGGTCTCCTTCAATAATAATTACCATTGAGGTAGAATTCATTGGATACTGAGAAGATTCACACCCTAAGCTAGCACATCTAGGACAAAGGTTCTTGCAATTACTGTTGTAGTTTAACATATTTATTTCCCACCCCAAAGCATCTCCAGTAAGCACCTCAAAGATGGAAAAGTGTATAGGATTAGTAGTAGAGAGAAATTTTCTTTACCAATAATGCCAAGTATTGGTGTGGTCTTCCAGCCTTTTCCATCTCTTGGTAAAGGAAGAAGAGAGGGGTAAACTGTTTTTTACAAAACTGGCAAAATAAGCAGTATCCTCTCAGTATCTTCTTGGTTTCATTCTCTGCATAATTATGTAAGTTTAGTCTAAAGTAACAAACTTGAAAACCAAATATAACATTTCACAAGACAATTTAAAGACAGCTGCACACTGATAAGGGTAAAGAGAATAAAAATAGGTCCAGGGCAGCCCTTGCCAGAACAACAGTGCACTAAATGTATAATCATAGCTCTCTTTTCCATATGAAGAAACAGGCTTAGAAGGATAAAGAAACTTGCTCAAGATCACACAGGTACACAGGGCAGAATCTGATTTGCCTGTACCTAGGGTTCTGTTCTTAACACCTGTCACCTCTTCACAAATGTGATTCTTGTGTACATGACTATATGTCAGTTTTCCTTAAATATCCTTTGTTTACATCTATATCTAGTATAGTTTTAAGTGTAGACTCCTGGGCCCAAACCCTTTCTGGGTACATTTTCTCTGGGATGGCCCAAGAATCCACAGTGTCTTTTAGTTGTTTTATGCAATCCCCAGGTGAATTTCAAGCTCTCTTAAGATTGACAAATCAGGGCCGTCCCTAGTGGTGCATTGCCACTGCAGTGATCCACAGTCACTGCAGCATGAGTTTGATCCCTGGCCAGGGAGCTGGCCCACATGGCACAACAAAACTTTCCTTTCCTGTCTCTCCCTGCTCCCCTCAGCAATGTACTTAGTCAATCTGCCTGTTCTGCTCCCCATTCTGACTCTGGTGAATCCCCTCACCCCCCCCCACACACACACACACACCTCTGGCCTGTATGCACAAATAAATCTTTTATTTTTTTAAAAGATTGACAAATCATTTATTTGTGGTATACTGCCTGATGAAAAGTCCCAAAAAGGCCTCATGAGGCATCAGTACCCCTCCAGATCAGAAGGATGTTCCCAATCCTCTCCAGAGGATTGGAGGAAGAACCTGCCAAACTTCCAGAGCCCTGCCCTTCACATTTTATCTCCTATCTCCTCACCAAAAGCAATTTGCTTTCATTAGGCCTGACTTCAACTTTCCTAACAAGCATCACACTAAATCAAGCAACTTGGGAGTAGAGAGAATATACTAGAGTTATCCAACCTCCAAAATGGTAGCCCAGGCACTCTGTCTCCTGGGCATACCCCCTAGGACACAACAGCCCCAAGAAAATGTCCTCAGCACCAGGGACCTTACACACACACCCTCACCCCCCACCATGAGAGGTTATGACCAGGAACTACTCGGCCAAAGCGTGCCCCAAATGGGCCTGGTCACATAGACAAGGCAGATTTGTCTATTTTTCCCTCTGAGTAGCACCAAATCGTGTGTTAGTAACACCTCTCATAGTATGGACCATGCTTTTCACCTTTATCTGACTGCTGCAGTGGCTATATCTTGTACACTTTCATGGTAGTGGGACTGTCAGAAGTGTAATATTAGGTTGTCATTTTATATTGTCATTTTGTCATGAATTTGTTTTGAATTTCATATTAAAATGAACCCATTACCACTTTGTGAAATCACAAGGGACGCTCATTTTGCCTTGGAGCACCTTTAACATCTCTCCAGTGTCCCTTTGAAATGTGTCCTCACACTGTCTTCAGCTACAAATTGAAAGTCCCCTTGGGCCCCCACCATTGAAACCCTACCCACTGCCTGCCTAGCCACGGGTAGGCCCCTGAACCTCTTGGTTCTTTTGAGTCCACAATTGTAAAATTCTGAGAGTTTTACAAATTTGCCTTTGTGATAAGCACAGAGCTTGTCTGTTTTTATCCTTCCCAACTGGAAAGTTTCCCTTCTCTCCATGTGACCAAATCTTTCTTGTCCTTCCCACCCACTCCAAGGTGCCTTCCCTAGTTGCCCAGTCCACAAGATCTCTGCCCCTCCAACTGTTAGTAGTTAGTGCCTGACAACTTAGTGTGTCAGGTTAATCCTCCCTCTCAAGCCAATCTCAGAATGTGGGTTTCTCTTGCCCTCCTGTGGCCACGGCTGTGCCAGCCCACAGGTACACTTCACAGGGAGAGGGTAAGTGCAAGGGCCCAGGCAGGTGGCCCTATGCCTCCACCCGCCCTGCTGAGAGCCTGAAGCCTGCCCCTCAGGTTCCATTGTGACCTCACTGACTAATGATGACCTCATAGGCCGCATCACGGTTTCCATAGCAGAGTAACTACACAAGCTTGGTGCTCTGGGGAAGCTTCCTACCAGTTCTCTACGAGATAACCAAGCAGTTTGGTTGCCTGAGAGAGAATGTCTGACCGGATCTTCTATATCCACTCTAATTTGTCCTCAGTCCCCTGGGAGGGCAACACAGCAGGTAGGCCCAGGCCAGTCATCTGTAGAAGATATATACACCACCTCACATGGTCACCACACCTCTCAACTGCCCCACCAATGGCCTTCAGTCACAGACCACAGTGGCTGCTCACTGCTAACAGCAAGTGAACTGGTACCTCTGGGCAAGTGTTCAGGAAAGTTCTGATCCTTATACATGTTGCCTTCCACTTTGGGTTACTCCATGCTTCCAGTGAAGCCCTTTCCTGCTGACCTCTTTAACAAAAAGGGCATTTTTTGTTGGCGAGTGATAGAGCAGTTGGAGGAAGAGCTGTCAACAGCTATTCATGAAGCTCACCTTCAAACCCATACATCTGGTGTCTGGGTCATGAGGACATCCACCTGAGTACCCTCAGAAACAAGCCAGTCTGAGAAGATGGGTGGTGGGGAGTGGTGGTGTCACACAATGGGAAGTTTGGAAGGGGAATGGGGATTAAGAAAGTGCTACTGAGACTGTAGAACCGAGGAAATGGTTTCTAAGGAGGTCGGGTTGCCAAAAGTATTGATAGCTGGAATCTGACTCCCAACCCCAGTCAGTCACTCTCTCCAGTGTTTGGCCTTTCCCTCGTCCATCTAGCTCAGAGTATGATGTCGGGGACTGGCCCCACCTATTGAGCTGTTGGGGAGCGAGACAGGCAAGGCCCTAAGGTGGGAAGGCGGAGGGGAGCAGAGATTCCAAGAAGGGGGAAGAGGAGCAGTGCAAGGAAGACACGGGAGTCAGAGTTGCTGCTCCTTTTCTCAGCAGGTCTTTATACAGTGTAGCAAGTAGTTAATTACAATAATTTATAGTATAAGTTAATAAGAAATCATCATAAATTGTCATAAACGTTCTCAAGGAAGAGGAGAGCAATGCCTCTCCTTCCTGACACTTTATGGCATACTAAATTATACATTATTTGTGATAATTGTCATGTATACAGATGTTTAACTGTAACTCAAGGGAAGAGGGGTTTGGGAAGATGAGCTATTAGAAAAAGATTGTTGGGGGTCTTAGGGAAGGAATAAATTGTGTTAGAGTCATCAGTGATTGTCTAGAGATGCTAATGGCTAATTTAAGGCTAGCAGAGAGTAGTTAGGGATTATTTTTTAAAAGGAGTAAATTAAAAAGAAGTTGTACAGTCATGCATTAAGCAACACCTGTGTAAACGAGGTTAAAAATTGTCCATGAGTCCTTATGCCCTGGGAGTCTTATCTAAGATTTGCTTTTTGTTTAAAAAACCCTAGGAAGTTTCCCAAGAGTCTTTATGCCCTAAGAGTCTTATCTGTCCTGGGGTTTGCCTTTTGTCTCAGGAGACTGAGGAATTTCCCGCCCTGGGGCAGCTTGCCTGGGCTGGTAGCCACCTTATGAGGCTAAGGCAATCCAGTTGTAAACTGATGGTTGTTCAGAATATTTTGATATTATGATCATACAAAAAAAAAGGAGGTCGTAGCGTAGCATAAGTTAGCAATGGAAATTCTGATTTTTCTGAGTTTCCCCTTTCCTCTGGAGATTGTCCGTTGACAGAAGTTGCAGAGCTTTTGTCAGTCTGAAAGTTCAGTGTGGCTGAAACAGGCAGGATGAACTGGGCTCAAGAGAAGTCACCGAGATGGGAAGGGGGCCTAGATTTGTATTAGATTCTTTTCCAAAAATTGAAAGGCATTTACAACCTCCAAAGTGACACAGACCTTAAAAAATGTCCCTCTGTTGTGGGGAAGGTAGAGGGAGGGGTTCCTGACTAATTATTTGGGGATTGTTTTCTCTGGGAATAGAAAACAGGTTTTCTGAGGTGCCGCTGACAGGCTCCATAGGTTTGCTTTGCAGCCAACATCCCTGCACTAGGAGACCTCTAGAGGATTTTTTTTTTTTTTTAAGATTTATTTATTTGTACATACAGAACTGGGGTACAGGCCAGAGGCTCAGGGGCAGTGAGAGGCTTCACCAGAGACAGAGTGGGGAGCAGAACAGGCAGATCGATGAAGTACACTGCTGAGGGGAGCAGCGGGCGGGTCAGGAGAGGTCTGCCACGCCATGTGGTCACCTCTGGGGCAGGCGGGAATCGAACTCATGCGGAAGTGGCTTTAGATTCTCAGTGCTGTGCTTTAACCCACTGCGCCACCAGGGAGGGCCCTTCTAGAGGATTTTAATGCCAAGGAGGGCTTCAGTCAGAAACAAGGAGAGACATGAGACAGGGAAATCCTGGGAGGGCACCGTGTACAGTCAAAATGACAGAGCCTTTCTGATTTTCTCTTCAGCATCAGTGGCTCCAGCTGCTTCTCCTACCCCTGGCCACTACCACGTCCTCTACCGAGGGTATGGAGAAACCCAGGTGGGCTGGCACGGGGAGACATACTGCCTGGTTGGAGGCTACCGGGCCTATGGAGATGCCCCTGTGGCCACACCAACAAAAGTGGAAGCAGAGAAGCCAGTCCGTAGCCGGGCTCCCAAGAGGCGATGGGTTGTGACAGACTCAGACAAAGATCTTGGTTGCTCCAGCCCCAAAATTCGGCGACTGCAACATGATAGCAGGAGGATGAACCCACAGAAGCTGGCTGGCTGATCCACTCTATAGAGAGGGCAGTGTTCACCTGCCTCGGACAGCTAACACCTTTTCCCGCAGTGACCCACCCCCCTCAACTGTCCACCACTGGAAATTAGAAACTCAGCCATTCTGTGTGCCTTCCTCTGCCAGGAGGCTCCTTCCGTGCTAATAGGCCATGGAAAGGAGCCTTGGAAGCTTAAGTATCAAGTGAGAGGCTGCTTTGACACCCCACGGCTAACCTGGCCTGGAAGAAAGCCAGATGCTGCATGGCTCCACCCTCAAGAGTCCCTCCTCAGGCAGAAGAGGGTCTGTGCTCTGCCAGCCCAGGGGGATCTGGGAGCAGAGAGAGGGTGTAGAATAGTCTTCACAGGCCCAGCCTACCAAGTGGGCTCCTGCTGCTGCCCAGGAAGCCTTCTGGCTAGAGTCTGAGGAGCATAATAGAGAAACCCAAGAGGACCTCCCTGGAAGAGGAACAGGATGGAGAGTCAAGCAGCACCCCACCTGAGACTCACACTACTCTTTTTCCTAGTCCTTCTTAGCCCCACTGGGGTTTTTTAATGCTTAATAAAACCATTTTCTGTTTAACCACATTTGCCTTGATATACAGCTTCTTCAAAGCAAATCCCAAACCGCCGTGCCCTTGAAGTTCATTCACACATGGGGTAGCTGGGCCTCTACACCATCTAGACAACTATTGGGGGGGCCCCCAAAGAACCCAAAAAAAAAGCCTTTGAGTGCAGCTACTAACTCTGTGGCTCTTCTAGTGGCACCTCTGCGAACTGGGGTAGGACAAGGAGGAAGCTTCTTTAAGAGATGCAGAGCCTAGCAACTTGGATGGAGCTGGAAAAGATCATGCTTAGTGAGATAAACCAGAAAGAAAAAGAAAAATACCGGATGGTTTCACTCATAGCAGGAGTATAATG